GACACACATTCAACTCAAGAAAGGCAATGCGAAGCGAACTGAACGTAGTTCCTTACACTCATGCGAGCACCTGTTTTTCGCGGGGTATAGCTCCACCTATTTCAGTGACGCATTCTGACGCGCCGCCTCTGCATATGGTCAGGCGGTGGTGTACAGCCTGCAAGTAGAGCGGCAAGTAGCTTTCAAAGTCCGTCAAGTAGCGGCGCATCCCCCGGGTAACCAGCGTTGCCCCACTACAGCCATCCGGCCTGCATCCCCTAGAACGGATGCGCCTTTGCCTGACTAGAGAAGGCAGTTCAAGCGAAAGGCTGTCCGCGCTAACTGGCGGTTGCATCTGGTAGTTGCGTTTGAGATGGTTCGTTGCATCTTTGATGAAAGCCCCTTGGGAGCGAGTTGATCCTCCCCCTTGCCTTCTATGGGCTGCGCTCTTGACACACATACAAAGGGGAAATGAGCGAGCTGTATCTTCCCTCAGTAGCCGGCAAAATACCTGGACGATGCGGTAGCCCTGATTCCCTATGAGCGCNGAGCTGTATCTTCCCTCAGTAGCCGGCAAAATACCTGGACGATGCGGTAGCCCTGATTCCCTATGAGCGCAGCCACGGAGGTTCCAAACAACTTCAGCACCAGAAGCCGAGGTGGGAAGGTTCCCCATGCATGGTCCGATACTGTGATTACAACCACCATGAGACCTTCGCACAGAAGCAGCAAGCCTATGTGCACGATGCATATGCAGTGCAGACCAGAAGCATATACGTACCAAGACACTCCTTGCGCAGTAATGCAAAACTCCTGAGCTTACAACGTCACCCCCGCCGAACACGGGAACAGCCAGCTGCTTCCTCCCACAAGTCTGGATGTAGGGACGAGAGGTAAGGGAGTTGCACGCACAATATATCGCTTTCAGGTAAACGTACCACAGACGACATGCGACTGGCACGAAATGCCGCCGCTGAAGAAGTCGACCCCCACGAGACACATCAGAAGCATGCTAAAATCAACAAGGCGGAACGGAAGAAAGGAGCGAGGCACGACAATGAAGGCCAAAGAGAAGAGTAAAAGCCTCCACTTTGCTCTCTCCGTTTTTAGTAGACGGTTCAAATACCAAAATACAACGCACAAGCTAAACACAACTGCCCAATTTACGAGAATCGCTGCACAGATCACACAATACGCACCGAACCCACGAACCTCCAGTGGACCCTAGGATGACGAACAAAGCTCAATCAAACCCATTCAGAGTTTCTCCTCAAGTTCGAGAAACATATGAATAAACACCCACCACAATCGATCCAGGGAGGATTGCCTGCTTGGCTGAACTGACAGGAGACGAATGCAAGACTCGAATTTAGCACCATTAGAAGTGCGAGAGAAATGAGCCACAAGTGTAGGTCCTCCGGTCTCATGAACGGGCCCACATCTCCCGAATCCCCACTTCTCGTCATTTTTTAACCCCTTGCGTGTATCGACTCAAAACAAAGTTTCACGGCGACCACTGAAACAACGGTTCCATGCTTAGCCTCCCTTATAGCTGTGTACGTCCAAATGCCACTGGCAGCTAAGCAGTAACAACCTATGTCCCTCGTTCTGTACTGCATGTATAAAACAAGGGTAAAGAGAGCAAGAGACGTCGGTGCACACTCTGCATACGCAAACAGCGAGCATCAGCACGGCAGGTTCACTCCCCTTAATAGCCCCCCTCCATCTGGTGGGAAATCTAATAATCCTTCACTTTCTAACTGCACTTTCCGTTTTTTTCCTTGGCGAACGCATGCACTGTCGATGGAGGCGCAAGTGGTCTTCGCGTTCTGAAGACACCGTGTAGTTTAGACCCGTCACCGAATGACTTTGAAGTCCAGTTGCTATAATGAAAGAATGATTTCGTTAAGGAAGTTCACAATCTCGCGAAAAACTGGTTTGCTTCCACACGCATCACCCAAGGACTGTCCCACCGAAGGACCACTGGACCTGCTGAGCCCGGAAGTGGGCGTTGCGATGTGGCTCCAGGATACCCTACCTTTTCACCGGCAAACAAATAGGATAATTTGGACAGCATTGATAGATTTAACAAACGCACAATGATGCGGACGAGTGAGGAGGTGCAAATGGATTGATCAGCGAAGCTTGGAGCTACGATGCTTGCCCGTGTTTGTTCCAGCGGAGTGGGGCGGGTGCGCGTCTCCCCTCCCAGTTCGAAATAGTGAAATACTGTCTCCCCGCCTCATCAATCCGCCTCCCTGAGTGTTTGAAAACTCATATTCTCTCCAAATTGACGTTTGCGGCGTTCCAGCGTATGAGACGCCAGTGCCAACGCTTTTCTGAGTACGCCGGACCTTCATCACATCGGCGGAGCACGTCCTCGTCACTCCCTACGGATGCAAAGTCATCTGTGCTGTTAGCATT